GTGATTCTTTGTGATTTGGCAATATGCAATGATGTAATATGACAGTTATGTAATTTTTGCATAACACTGATTTTCACATAACGACTTGGTCTTTGAACCCAACTATACTGAAAAGTGAGGAATGAGTGTATAGCACATATGTATTGAATATTTACAATATGCTAGGAACTTATTCCTATCAACAATCCTAAAGGTAGATCCCATTGTTAGACCTATGCTTCACATGGTGGTTGCAGTGGTCTGCCCATGTTCAGGCTGTGCCAGGCTTGGACTTTAGTCTAAGATATCTGACAGTTTTTGAGCTTATCACGACACCACACTTCACATTCCTCTTCTAAAAAAAAAAAGCACCAGGTCCCCTGCACATACTCAATTGCTCCCTGGACGGCTTTGTTTGCCTATCTCACAAGCATTCCACACACAAGGTAACTCAGGGTAAACTCACGGTTTTTTCAACATTTATTGAGCACTTCTGTGCCAGGCACTGCCTAGGCCCTAAGTCTGCCTCAATGATGTAAAAGTCAATGACCTAAAGGGACAATCTCTGACTTCATGAAATGTACTGTGTAGTTGGTGAGACAACTAATAAAACAAACAGCATCAATTTGTGAAAAGTACCCTGAAGAATTATAAGCCAGAGTAAGTGGATAGGGAGAGAAGGAAAGGATTTTGTGGGAAGAATAATGGTCTCAAAAAGAATTCCACTCACTACTTCCTGAAACCTGTAACTATATTATGTTATAGGCAAAAAGTACTTTTCAGATGTGATTAATGTTAAGGGTCATAAGGTGGAGAGATTATTCTGGTTTATGTTGATGGGCCCAATAAAATCACATGGATCTTTAAAAGTAAAAGGGGAAGGCAGAAGTGTGGATCAGAGAGATGGGACAATGATCACAGAAGAAGAGGCAGGAAAGATTCCAAGAGTGAGAGAGACTCAACCCATTATTGTAGGTAGAGATGGAGGAAGATGGAGGAAGGGGACCATGAACCAAGGAATGCAACAGCCTATAGAAGCTGGGAATTGCCCTCAGTTTTGAGTCAGCCAGAAAATGAGGACCTCTGTCCTATAACAATAGGAGTTGAATTTTGCCACCAACCAGAATGAGCAGAAAATGGAGGTTCCTAGAATCTCCAGAAACTAGCACAGCCTTGTGAACACTCTGATTTTAGCCTGGTAAGACCTGTGCCAGACTTCTGACCTCCTATAAGCTGTAAGCTGCTAAATTTTTGTTGGTTTAAGCCACTAAATTCTGGTAATTTGTTATGGCAGCAACAAAAAACTAATGCAGGCTGTTTTAAGTAGGGTAGCCGGGGTAGACCACTTTAAGCACAGGCCTAGAGAGACATCTGGGGGAAGAGATTCCCAGGCTGAGAGAAATGGTCCTGACACAAGAGGAGCATGGAGTGTGTGAGGAAAAGCGAGGAGGCCAGTGCAGCTGGAGTGAACGAGTGAGGAGTGAGCGAGGAGCTGAGACTGCAGCGCAGGCCAAGCCAGCGCATTGGCACTTTGCAGGCCATGTAGTTTCATATTTTCTTCTCAGCATCCTGGAAACACACGTTGGCAGAGGAGTGACAAAACCTGACTTGTATCTGTAAAAGACTCGCCATGGCTGTTGTAATGAGAGAGAACAGAATGGGGCAAGAGAAGAAGCAAGGCAGTCCAGTGAGGAGCTACTTTTTATTTTCATCCAAATGAGAGAAGGAAAGGGATCGGACCAAGACAAAAAAGGTGAAGCAAAGAGACACGGTCAGATACTTGTTGCTGTTGTTGTTGTTGTTGTTATGAGAGAAGGAAAGGGATCGGACCAAGACAAAAAAGGTGAAGCAAAGAGACACGGTCAGATACTTGTTGCTGTTGTTGTTGTTGTTGTTGTTATGTGCTGTTGAGTCGGCTCCGACTCGTAGCGACCCTACGCACAACCAAAGGAAGCACTGACCAACCCTGCTCCAGCCTCACAGTCCTTGCTACACCTGAGCCCACTGTTGCAGCCACTGTGTCAATCCATCTCCTTATTCATTGACCATCCACTTTACCAAGCATGACATCCTTCCCCGGGGAATGGTCCCTTCTGACATGACCAAAGTAGGTGAGACGACGTCTGGCCATTCTTGCTTCCAAGGAGCATTCAACTGCACTTCGTCCAGGGCAGATTTGTTAGTTCTTTTAGAAGTTAACAGTACTTTCAGTATTCTTCGCCAATACCACAACTCAAAAGGACCAACTTTTCTTTGGTCTTCTTATTCATTGTCAAATTTTCACACGCATATGAGGCCATTGAAAATACCATGGCTTGGGTTAGGTGCTTCCTAGTCCTCATGGAGATATCTTTGCTCGTTAGCACTCGAAATAAGTCTTTTGCAACAGATTTGTCAAATGGAATACTTCTTCTGATGTCTTGACTGCTGTTCCATTGGTGTTGATTGTAGAGCCAAGTAATATGAATTCTTTGACAACTTCAATCTTTTCTCCATCCATCATTATGCTGCTCATTGTTCCAGTTGTGAGGATTTTTGTTTTCTTTATATTAAGGTGTAATCCATACTGCAGACTGTAGTCTTTAATCTTCATCAGTAAGTGTTCCAAGTCATCCTCACTTTCAGCAAGCAAAGTTGTGTCATCAGCATATCTCAGGTTGTTATTGAGCCTACCTCCAATCCTGATGCCATGTTCTTCTTCATATAGTCCAGCTACTCAGATTATTTGCTCAGCATGCAAATTGAATAAGTATGGTGAAAGGATACAACCCTGAAACACTCCCTCCCTGATTTTAAACCACGCAGTATCCCCTTTTTCTGTTTGAACTACAGCCTCCTGGCTTATGCACAGGTCCCTCGTAAGTACAAGTGTTCCAGAATTCCCGTTCTTCTCAATATTATCCACAATTTGTTATGATCCATACAATCCAATGCCTTTGCATAGTCAATAAAACACAAGTAAACATCTTTCTGGTATTCTTTGCTTTGAGCCAAGATCCATCTGAAATCAGCTATGATATCCCTCACCCCATATCCTCTTCTGAACCCAGCTTGCATTTCTGGAAGTTCTCTGTCAATATACTGTTGAACCTGTTTTTGAATTATCTTCAGTAAGATTTTACTTGGGTGTGATATCAATGATATAGTTTGATAATTTCCACATTCTGTGGGATCACCTTTGTTTGTAATGGTTACAAATATGGATCTCTTCCAGTCAGATGGCCAGGTAGCTGTCTTCCAAATCTCTTGGCACAGCTGAATGAGTGCCTCCAGCATGGCATCCATTTGTTGAAACATCTCAATGGGTATTCCATCAATTCCCAGAGCCTTGTTTTTCACCAATTCCTTCAGTGCAGCTTTGACATCTTCTTTCAGTACCATTGGTTCTTTATCATATGCCACTTCCCGAAATGGATGATCATCTGCCAATTCTTTTTGGTATAGTGACTCTTGTGTATTCCATCCATCTTCTTTTGATGTTTCCTGCAACATGGAACATTTTGCCCATGGAATCTTTCCATATCGCAATTTGAGGCTTAAATTTTTTCCTCAGTTCTTTCAACTTGAGAAATGCCAAGGGTATTCTTTCCTTTTTGTTTTCCAATTCCAGGACTTTGCACATTTCATTATAATAATTGACTTTGTCTTCTCAAGCTGCTCTTTGAAATTTTCTGTTCAACTCCTTTATCTTGTCATTTCTTCCATTTGCTTTAGCTACTCTCTGTTCAAAAGCAAGTTTCAGGTCTTTTCTGACATTCATTTTGGTCTTTCCTTCCTTTCCTGTCTTTTTAACGATCTTTTGCTTTTTTCATGGATGATGTTCTTGATGTCATCCCACAATTCATCTGGTTTTTGGTCATCGGTGTTCATTGCATCAAATCTAGTCTTTAGATGGTCTCTAAATTCAGGAGGGATATAATCAAGGTCATATTTTGGCTCTCATGGACTTGTTTTAATTATCTTCAGCTTCAACTTGAACTTGCATATGAGCAGTTGCCCTTCCACAGTCAGCTCCTGGTCTTGTTTTGGCTGAAGATATTGATCTTCTCCATCACCTTCTTCCATAGATGTAGTCGATCTGATTCCTGTGTGTTCTATCTGGTGAAGTCCATATGTATAGCCACCATTTATGTTGTTGGAAAAAGGTATTTGCAATGAGTAAGTGTTGAGAACAAAGTAAATAAAATAGACAAGGTCTCTGCTTTCAAAGTTTGCAATCTAGTGCGTGTATTTGCGTTGAAGGAAAGTCTGAAAACAAACACTTAAGATATATATAATAGACAGTAATAACTTCCAGAGGAAGTTGTGTGGGGGTGTGTGTGTGTCCTGGCAATTTTTTTACATAGGGTGATCAGAAAGCCTTCTTGAATAAAACATTTTAGCAGAGACCAAAACAACAAAACAAAAACAAAAACTGGGGAGTCGGTATAAGGTCATTGAAAAGCATTTAAGATCAGGAACCCGTTTTAGTATGTTGGAATCCCAGTTTGTTGTATGTATGTGCCTGGACAAGTTACTTTAACGTTGAGTGTGCGTCCCATCTGTAAAAGAACAAGCCTCACAGGCTACACTGTTCTGAGGGCTAAGTAAGAACATGTTCACTGATGCACCTAACACAAAATAAAAGTTTTATGACAAGTTCTAAATTGAGAAATAGACTCTGCAAAGCAACCTAAGAAATACAGCGTCCCACCACCCACACCGACCCCTGTGCCCGGGGCGAGCAGATGATTGGGTCCACAACACGTCCGCCCCACCCAGGAATTCGGTCCAATCGCGCCTGGCTTAGCGCTGAGGCTGGTTCCTAGAGGTCCACCGAGTGGGCGGTGCCCTGTACGTCACGATGACGCGTTACGTCACGGTGGGCGGAAGTCGTGGCCGCTGTTTTGAAATTGGGCCGCCTGGGTCTTACACGCTCCTGTCGTCGCTAAGGCAGAGCTGCAGCTGGGTTCTGGGCATACGGAGCCTGTGACAGAAGACGCCCCTCAAGAGCTAGGCCTTAGGCTTGCTCTCAGGCCGGAGGCCGCAGCCGCGTCATGTCCACGCCTCCGTTGGCGGCATCGGGGATGGCGTCCGGGATGGCGCCCGGGCCCTTTGCGGGTCAGCAAGCACAGCAGGCCGCCCGGGAGGTCAACACGGCGTCGCTCTGCCGGATCGGGCAGGAGACGGTGCAGGACATCGTGTACCGCACTATGGAGATCTTTCAGCTCCTGAGGAACATGCAGGTGCGAAACCAGGCCAACCCTGCTCCTGGGAATGCGTAGGAGAAGCGGAGTGTTGCTTTAAAGGGGTCCCCCAGCGTTGGCGGGGCTATCCTGAGCAAGCCTCCGGTGTTTGGGCGTGCCGATCGCTTTCAAATGTGTTCCCACTGGTATGTCAGTCCCCAGGAATCTAGGGTGCAGATGGGATGTTTTCCGACCGCATTTATGGAAGATTGACGCCACATTTTCTAGATTTCGGCCAGGTTCTTCACTAAGTAGGTGAAGGTTGTTGATTTATTGATTCCTTTCCTTTCAAGGTACAGATGAGTCTCATCCACTACCCTTTTTAGATCACTTTAACTTTTATCTCATCTCTTTTCCAGAAAACTCTCTCCTGGGGTCAAGGAGTTGAAGAATTCAGACTCCGCTAACCGTTCTTTTCTTTAAGTCAGTTTTATTTTGTTTTAATTACATGGAATAAACGACACATGTTTAAAGTTTTGACATACACTGACGAAGATTTCTAATGCTGTAATAGAAGTATCCCAAGTGTATGGCTGTAACAGACAGGAATTTATTTTCTCGCAGTTTAGGGGACTGGCTCTAGGAGAAGGCTTTGTCTCTCTGTCAGCTCTGAGGGACAGTTCTTGTCTCTTCACCTTGTTTCTTGGTTCCATGGAAATCTCCTTGTGGCTTGGCATCAGGCTTCCTCTATCTCTGCTTTTTCACTTGCTTGTTTAATTTTTCTCTACTGCAAAAGAGATTGCATTTAAGACACACCTCACACTAATCTATTTCATTTATGTAACAGTCTTATTAAGATTAGAACACTCAGTCATAGCTGGTGAGCATATGAGATGAAATGAGATATTATTTCATTTATGTAACAAAAACAACCTACCACCAAACCAAACCTACTGTCATCAAGTCACAGAGATCCTATAGGACAGAGTAGAACTGCCTCATTTTCCCACAGAGCAGCTGTTGTTGTTAGGTGCCTTTGAGGCATCTCTGACTCACAGTGACCCTGTGCACAGCAGAACGAAACAACTGCCCAGCCCTGGGCCAGCCTCATGGTCCCTGCTATACCTGAGCCCATCATTGCAGCCACTGTGTCAGTCCATCTCATTGAAGGCCGTCCATTCGTTGACCCTCCACTTTACCAAGCATGATGTCCTCCAGGGAATGGTTTCCCTGACAGCATGACCAAAATAGGTGAGAAGTCTGGCCATTCTTGCTTCCAGGGAGCATTCTGGCTCCACTTCTTCCAGGACAGATCTGTTAGTCCTTTTAGCAGTCCGTCGCAGTCTTAGCATTCTTCTCCAATGCCACAACTCAACAGCATGAACGCTTCTTCCATCTTCCTTATTCGTTGTCCAGCTCTCACATACATAAGATGCGATTGAAAATACCATGGCTTGGGTTAGGCACACCTTAGTCTTCAAAGACATATCTTTGCAATTGAAAGAGGTCTTTT